AGCAATGTCTTTGATTTGATATGAAAGATTTGAGTGGTATAAATGTAAAAAGTAAAGTTTAAGTTTTAGATATGTAAATAGATAGGAATTGTGTGGTATGTATGTAAATGCCCCTTTTTTGTTTTGTGATATTTGTAATTTTTCTATGTTATCAGTCCTACTTTGATTATTTTATTAGATAATATGTTCTTTTTCCTTACATATATTTTGCAATTGTAGGTATATGAAGATGGAGGAGAAAGGGTGGAATTCTCAGGGCCATTGTTGTCTAAATCCCAAAAAGTAGATGAACTGTTACAGAAGCATGAACGGCAAATTCGACAGGCCGTTCGACGATCTTGGTTTCTAGGAGGTGACCAATTTTTCACTTAAGCCCTTCTTATATCAAGTTATTGCTCTACTATTCCATCATCTATTACATTTAAAACACTTTGGTGTCAATAAACCCAATGCATGAAGTATTGAAATGTGATAACACATTTCTTTTAAAAGCTTTTTGATAGTAATATTTTTGATAACATATTAAACATTTGAGTGCCACGCATACAAACATGAAAGTTTAATGTTAGATTTGTAAATACATAAGATTTGATGTAAAATATTTTCCATATGTTATGCTGCATTGGCAGGTAGAAAACAAGTGAAGTGAATCAAAGGTGTTATTTTGATACTCAACAAAGCTCTTTGAGCAGTGGCACTGATAAGAATGAGGGTACATATAGTTCCAATTTTGATATTGGCCTTTAAATATGGTAAAAATGAAATATAATGGAATTGCAGCTATGTTTTATGTAATTTTTATGATTTTTGGGGAGTTGAGTGTATGATTATCCTCAAAAAAAAAAAAAAAAATACAGAGGATTGGGCCTATAATTTGTATAGATTCTTTTTTGGGGTGGATAATGTTTCAGACCTGAAAAACTTAATTGGCTGATACCTGAATGAGATTGTTATTCATACAGCAGTTATTGAGAAAGAAGAAAAAAGTCTTTTTTTATGGGGAATTTGCATTTATACCACGCAATTCTTTTTCATATTTAACTCCCTTTTACATATATACCTTATTTTAGGAGGAGAATTTTTTTTATATATTCAACTTGTAATAGAAGACACATTTATATACATACCACTCAAGTCATATGTATTTACATATCCAACACTTCAATTTACTTATTACATTTATACAACCAAAATCTTTCATGTAACATCAAAAATATTACCATTTTAGATTAATAAAATATAATAAAATGTACATTTTCATTCATATTTATGGTGTTATGCACGTAAAAATTGAAGTTTATGCATTATATATGTAAATACATAGGATTTGAGTGGTATGTATGCACATCTCCCTTTAAAAAAAAATGCATGATTAACTAATAATGTATGAGAACTTCTCTCATTTCAGTCACACGTAAACTTAGAATTCGTAATGAAACTATGCGAATTGTGAGTTCCGTGTTCTGTTGGTAGAACAGTCTCTCTGAAGAAAAGCTATAAATATAGGAATTGATTTAATAAGCGAAAACTGGGGAGTGCAGTTGGCAGAGGATTGCCTCTCCAACATCTGTGTTTGAGCTATATTTTAGTAAAATGGCCCACCAGTTCCAACAGATATTTGATTTAATACATTAAAATGATAATAATTAAAAGTTATTGAGGTGAAATATGCAATTGAATATATACAAATTGGAATCTGTCGAATAATAGTACTTTTAAGGGGGGCTTTACATATCTATCACCCAATTCCTATGTATTAACATATCAACCACTCAAACATGAAATCACATATTGAAGTTTGGGTGATTGATATATCAAACATAGGAATTGAGTGGTAGGTATGTAAATCTCTCTATTTCCAAAATTAAAGAACATTACCTTCAAAAAATATAGGGCAAATACAACTCTTGATAAGATATTTAAATTTTAAAAATTCATAATTAAATTTAAGATAATTTATACTCCAATCTTAGTTAACTTAAGTTGAAACTAAACAGCTTAATAAGATGAATCTAATGGGGTCAAAAGTGATTTGATCTAACTCTAAATAGGCCTAACTCAATCACATTAAACACAACTACAAAGTTTTGTGATAATGATTACAGGATCAAATATTTTCTAAATCTTGAGGGTCTCAGTGAGATAAATTCAACAAATTTAATTTCACTCAATTATGACAAAATTATGATACTTGAATGTTAATGAAATTCATTACTTAATCAAGAAATATTGTCATTTAACCATTGTAGCCTAGTTATTATTGTTTGACTCTTATCAGCCAATCGTTGTATTATCTAACTGACAACCTAATCATTATCATTTTTTTTTTGTTAGTCGGCTCTTGACCAAAAGAAAATATGTTGAGATTTTCATACATATTTCATACTGTTTTTGATGATATTGCACTTTAACGAAATATATTTTTGATGTTTAGTTGCAAGTATGATGAATTATGGTCATTATAGCAAAAAGATGCAAAAAGGAGCGAATTTGGAGCGAAAATGACCAAAATATGAAGAATTGAATTAGGGCGCCGACAACGAGCCCAATGGTGCCAACGAGGAGATTTTCCCAAGACTCCAGATGAATAATTTAGAAGACCCGCCGACAGATTTAGAACCCCCCGCCGACTGCGCCCTCGGGGCCGCCGACGGCGAGATCGACAGTTATTTCCAAATGTGTATTGAATGTAGACGATTTTTGGAGGGAGGCTTAGACAACTCGTGAGAAAACGCTTCTACATCTTTAAAAGAAGATTTTGGCAAAAATTTGAGGGGATTCCGGGAGAGTTGCAGCGTAGAGAGTTTACTTTAGGGTTAGATTGTGAGGAATTCTTCGAGAGATTGTAAGAGTGAAGGGAAAGTGAGAGATATCTTTCTCCTTGCCGCTTCAAAGAAAAATTATGTGTGTTGTAAAGAAAGGAAGACAATCAGAGGAACTTCGAGGAGTTTGCTTGGGGAGGAATTAGAGATAAGTGTTATTTACTTGTTGTAGTTTGTATGACTTTGCTTTTATATATAAATTCAGAGTTTTGTTGTGTCTTCCCCATGAGTTCTGAGTAATTTTCTTTGTCTTTCTCATTGTCTTGAGATTTATGAAATAGTGATTTGAATTTGTTGAGCTTTGAAAATGTTAAAGAAGTTGTGATGATCATTTCACTTCGATCTTAATTTACTTTCAATCTGGTCAATTAATTTATTAAAATATGTTGAGTTTTACAACTAAAGTGAAGATTACATCCAAGATTCAGGGAAGTTAAAACCCTTGGAAGTTGGGTGTAAACAAATAGGGAAATAAAATTATCGAGAGTAGAATTGGAGATTTTAGAGTGACAGACTAAAATTCTCAATTCAGTCCTATCGTTTAGGTGCTGAAGTGTAGATGTTAGCCCTCAGGCGAGGGGAACGTGGGAGCTCCGAAGTGAGAGT